AGGTACCAGGAGGGCTCCTTTAGTCTGGAGGTATTCACCTGGTGTCCTGTCCCCAGAGGCCCAGCTCAAAGCATTATTTATCCTCATATCGCCGTGAGTGTATACAGATCTCCCAGAGCAAGCTTCCATCAACCTTTCCCCCTAATCTTTCTCTGTCCTACAAGCTTATTTGTCAGAAATACCCATGACCCAGCTGAGTTTAAAGGAGTGCCACGTGTTGGCTGAGCACCCCATGAGTGGCCAGTAACATAGCCATGGTCTTGGCAGGTAGGTGGACGATCCATATGCCTGACTTCTGAGACTCCCCTCTCTGGGAACTGTCTTTATGCACATAAGCATTCTCACCCATGAGTTTCAGGGGAGTCTTCTGTACCCCCACAGATAATTGGCCTGCTCCTTCTTTTGGAGCTCAAGGCAGACACCGTGCTTCATGAGCAGAGGACCGCTGCACTGACCGCATCCCAACTAGCTGCTTCCAGTGAGGGCTTTTTCTCTATGCATGTGTTCCTTGGCTTCTTTGCAGCATTAGACTCTGTTTTTATGAAGCTTTTCAACCTATGGCATCTGTGATACCGTTCTCTCCTCCTTTTCCTACTTCCTGGGCGGATAGGCCCTCAAATAGAGAAAGCTTCCCAGCTGGAAGACCGTGCGTGGTCAGGCGTGTACGTGCAGCTGTGCTTTCCTTCTTTCTATTTATTTATTGAGGTGCAATTCACTACCATGAAATTAACCATTTTAAAGTGTGCTGAGTCAGCAGCATTTCGTATCCTCACCATGCTGTGCGACTACTACCTCTGTCTAGTTCCAGAACATTTGGGGACCCCGTGCCCATTAGTAAGCAGTCCCCATTCCCTCCTCCACCCAGTCCCTGGCAACCACTAATCTGTTTTCTGTCTCGATGGATTTACCTATTTTCTGGATATTTCATGTAAGTGGAATCCTACAATATGTGACCTTTAGTGTCCGGTTTCTTTCACTCCGCGTGGTGGTTTTGAGGTTATTCCATGTTGTGGCAAATGTTCACAGTGCTTTCCTTCTTGAACCTGAAAACAGATCTCTTCCCCGTGGAATCCTTCCCTTCTCTATTCACATTTTCATGATACTAGCTAGGCCTTATTATTTTGCATCATAACCTCTGAACTGGTCTTTCAAAACCCAGCCTCTCCTTTCTAATCCACTTCACAACTTCCAGAAGCAAAGTTTTAAACATGTCAATTCTCAAAACTTCCAGTACTCCCCAGAGCTGGTCCAATTCCAGACCCCTGGCCTGAAGCCCCCTGAGCTGTCCAGGGTCTGGCCTCGCCTCTCCCCCACTTTTGTGGCATGAAGCCTACCCCCACCTGAGGCTTCCACAGACAGAACCACCTCTTGCTCCTTGCATTGGACCTGTTTTTTTCTGTTCCTCTACAACCTCTTCTGTTTCTTTCTCTCTTAACTCCTTATTCTGTCTGGATTCACATTCTTGCCTTTCCTGCTCCTGTCTACATTTCAAATTCTGCCCTTCTCCAAGATCCAGCTCAGGGGTCCACCCTACTCCAGGAAGTTTTCCCTCTTGCCACCCCCCACGGCCCCTCCCAAGCAGAGGTAGAGAATAGCTCCTTTGCTCCCAACTGCCAAGACTCTTATGAGAAGTTGTATGTACATGTTTTCTCTCTTCTCTGGGACGTACACTCCTGAAGGGCAGGATTCTCCTTGGTATGTGCACAGGCCCCGTCTTGCAGTTAGTAGGCATTCCCTCATTTTGTTGAACGATAATAAGTTTGGACATCGCTTGCCCTGATACCAACCAGCTCGGAGGGGGCACTTTGTCCTAGGCCAACTCGGGATATTTAAATCACTATGGTTTTGTGATTTTACAGCTTGCCCACCCCCTTTCCTCCTGACAGCTCCTTAAGGAATGTTGGGTCCTTTATCAGAGATGGCAGAGGGGAAGGGGACGTGGGAGCATCTTATTTGTCTTCTGCCAAATAGGACAAGATTTACCACATTGCTCTGTTGGAACCCTGAAACTTCTCTGCACTAGAGAAAATAATTTTTCCTACTGCAGCCCATCTAAACCAGCTTAGCTTTTCAAGATGGGAATGCCCACACCCAGAGGTCAAGATTAAATTACTTGCTAGCCTTTGAGATGTATGTTTATGCATGAGGTTTCCTACCCATATCCTTAGAGGGAAAAGATAGTGAGGTTAAGGCTAAGCCATCATCCAGTGGGTGCTGAGGGGCTGTAAGGCTATTCCTTGCATGGGTCCAGGACCCACAGAATAGAGGTAGATGGGTTGTCTTTGGACCTCAGAGGGAATTTCTTTAGAAAGGCCACATCGGTGGCTCTAACCAAAGTAAAGGGCCAAGTAGTTGGTATGTTGGTAGAGACTTGGTGAGATGTGGGTTTGGCTAAGAAGCTGCTTTTTCTACATTTCCTTCTTTGATTTCTCTTCTTTCTAACCTGTGCCCACTCCTCTATCCACCCACACTGGGGTTGAGGAGGTTCAGGGAACAAACTGATTTTATCCTAAGATCTCTCTTGAAACAGACCTCTGACTAATAACAATGTCCACACAGATGCCAGCAATTATTTGGTTTGAGTAACTAAAGAACAAGACAAAACAAACAGATCTGGTTGCTAAACTACCAAAAAAGAAAAAGGAAAAAGAAAAAGCAACAGCAACAAAAACGGGTTTAGCTTTGCAACTGTTCAAGACTTCAGTTTCAGGGTACATGTTAGGATTTCCTGAGAAAATGATGAAATCCCCACGTGGTGGTGTCAGTTCCAGGTCAGAATTACAGACATGGCAAACTGAAGTCATGTCCCCACGATGTGAGGTGCTACGGTGGCTTAGCTCTGTCTGTGGACAGGTCCAGCATCCTTAGGGACTCCCAGTGGATACCTAGCCTCTCTGGCTTTAAATGAAGTCGCCTCCTTGCCTCCTGGGTGGATGGCAGTTCCGCGGCCCCCCCACCGTCATGTTTCCAGGTTTTCTGGCACACTAAGCTTTGTCCCACACCACGGCCTTTCCCCCCGGCAGTGCCGTACCCCTGGAACAGCTCTTCCCCAGCGTCCCCTTCACCTCATTCACGCCTGCTTGTCCTTCAGCTCTTCTTCTTTTTTTTTTTTT